GCAACCCCAGGTTTTCCCCCGCTGGCCCAGCACAACAACCCACGAACCCCGAAATCCCCCCGCCTCGGTGGGCTAATGGCGGGGCCCCCCCCCCCCCGCCTTTTTTTTTTTTTTTTTTTTTTTTTTTTTTTTTAGGTCTACACTCTTTTAGACCTGAAAGACCCATTCTTCAGCCTCCCATTGGCAGAGGTGAGTTAACCATGTTTGCTTGTAAATGGGCAGACCAAGAGGGTGTTACCGCGGGCAACATACTTAAACCTGGTTGCTCCAAGGATTTACAGACAGTAAATGCAGCTCTCCTGCCCTTCTATCAGAGGTTTCCTGGGGAAATAGATTATAAAGGGATCTCTGAGGGACTGCTGCAAGAGTTACAGACCTGGGGCTACAGGACTTCAGCTAAGAAAGCTCAACTTTGTACATCAGAGGCTGCCTATCTTAGCTGCCCGCTGAGGGGAAGCAGATGCCAACTCCGAAGACTAAAAGACAGCTCTGAGAATTCCTAAGTACCGTTAAGTATTGCTGCCTCTGGATATCTGAGTTTGTAGAAATAGCAGGGTCTCCATACACCAGCGCAAAGGGGGACACTGGGCTCTTAATCTGGACTGAGACTAAACCAAAAATTATCGGAGGCTTTAAAAACAGCTCTGATTTGGCTCCAGCTCTAGCACTTCCAGACATCTCAAAACCTTTTTCATCTGTTTGTCCATGAAACAAAAGATACTACAAAGGGGGTTTAACTTTTGGACCGTGGTGGCCTCTGCTAGTCTAATGAAAAACAAGCAAACAAGTTAACTCTGGGTTAAGATTCTGTACTCACAGCATCCCATGACACGCTCCTCCAAGTTGAGGCCCTCCTCCAAGGAACACCAGAAAGACAGCTGTCTAATGCCTGTGTGACCTAGTACCAAGCCCTACTCCTGGCTCACCCTTGAGTCTAGTTTAAGAAACTGACCACCATCATCCTGTTCTCCTCTTGCCTGGTGACAACCCCCAGGTGCTCATCCATGACTATCACAAGATGAAAGACGAAACCAGGTATGTGGGAACTGCAGTTGTTACTTTAACTTAAACATTTTGGACCCCAGCCAGGGACCTAAGCTCAGAGAGCAGAACCAATCGATCTGACCCAGGCTCTCAGATAGGAAAAAGTAAAGGACAGTTGCTATATTTTTACTACTATGCATGTCCATGGTATGATCTGTGGAGAACAAAGGCTTCTCACCACTGAATGAAAGACATTAAAAACAAACAGAAAATCTTGGCCCTTCTAGAGGCTACTCATCTTCCCCTACAAATTGCTATCCTGGGCCACTGACCAGGCTACCTGACAAGTCACTCTAAGACCAGTGGGGCCTATTGATATTATGATGGCAACCTGGTGCTGCCTGAGACTCCATGGTAAAGAAGAAATGGACAGCTCAAACCTACAAGTTGATGAAGAACAACAGAGGGAAAGATCTTTCTCCTAGAAACATCTGCCAGGACTCTGGTAACTGACCTTCACAGGCTCTGGAATCCACAAAACAGAGTTACCCAGACCAAGGTTTGTTATAGCTAGACTGGATGCCTAGCTCAGGATATCTATTTAGCTCAAGATATCTCAGCCAGATACCAGTTTTGTGCTCAAGTACATCTAAAACAGACAGCCCTTACCCAGAAAGGGGTCCAAATGAGTGATCAACCCCTATCGGACTCTGAGAAAACTGACTTCACCGATATTTGACCTACCAGGAGAGGATAAAAGTACTCGCTTGTTTGTCATAGAAATTAGCCATCTTTTCTAGGTGGGTAGAGTCAGTCCCTCACTGAACCAAAACTGCTCAAATAATAGCTTAAAAGCTCCTCCAGCAACTAGTCTCCTACTTAGGCCTCCTCCTAGCCAACGGGATTTAACTAACAATGACCTCGCTTTCACAAACCAAACCTCCCAATCAGTAGTTAAAGCTTTAGAAATAAGTTAAAAACTTCACTGTGCATATAGACATTAGATTTCTGGGCAGGTAGAAAATGTAAACAAGATTTAAAAAAAAAACTATACCAGAAGTCTCATTAGAGTCCACTGACTCTAATGAGATGGGTGAATAGACCTTCTTCCTTTGCTTTGCTTCAGGCCTGCTGCACACCTTACAGGAAGGGACCTACTCTCTATGAGATTATGTTTGGAAGACCTTCCCTGCTGCTTCCCAAGCTCAGAGACCAGCACTTGGCAGAACTCTCTAGTTACTTCTTTCTCAAGTCATTGCAGACTCTCCAGTCCTCCATAAAGGCTATTCACTAGGCTATCCAAGCTGATTCCTAAGTCCACCACCATTTCCCCTTGCTTGAGTCTGCAGATACTTTCTGGGTCAAGCAGGTAGCCAAAGGGGCACTGAAACCAACTTAGAAAGAATGCTACTAGGTCATTCTCTCCATTCCTTAGGATGTGGAGATAGCTGGCATTACACCATGGATCCACCACACCCAAGTCAAGAGAGCCATGGATGATGATGACAACAGGACTGTTTCCAGACTACGGACCTACTAAAAATTAAATTTTTGTCTTGCTCTTCTACTCTCTACCCCTCTACATCATCTTAGGTCTTGCGTTTTACTCTATGGGTGTGAATATAGGGTTATGGTCTCACTCCCACAGTCCTCAGGCCTGTAACTAGGAACTGAGAAAGATGGATACAGGGAAAGTATTAATTAGTGTGACTACAGACCACCAACCCATAATCATCTTGACCTCTGCTCACTGATGCCCACTTTAAGTGTTTGGTTGTATTGAAAAAAAAAAAAAAAAGAACGATATGGGAGTTTATCTTTTGAGGTAGAAATACAGAGTTTACAATTCTATGCATCTCCTAAGGCTGAGCCCTTTAGTTACCAGGAACAAGAGAGATCTGTTGCAAAAATTGGGGTTATGAGACTAAGGCTTCCTGAAATTTCCTTTTAAAAAGATTTTGGTCTTTGGAAAACCTGGGGAAATCAGACTCTATGCCACTGGAAGGGACAAAATCTATCAAGAGATAGAGGTTACTATTCCCAGCCAGAAATCAGCCAAGATTGATAGTTATCCTTAGGCACTCAGGCCCCAAACTACATAAGATAGGAATGAGCCAGACTGTCACCCCATTGACTTACAAAACTCACTGTGACTGGGACAGCCTTAATTAACATTAGAGAATTTACAAGAGGCTAAAATTTGTCTAATACTCAAAAGATGCCTGCCCTTCTGCCTTGTGAGGCCAGCCTGAGGTCTAGGACAGCCAGAGCTACACAGAGAAACCCCTGTCTCAAAAAAAAAAAAAAAAGCAAAGAAGAGAAAAGAAAAAAGAAGGAGAGAATAAAAAAGAAAGAAGAAGGAGAGAAGGAATGAACAAACGAACAAAGGAACTCAAAAAGAGAAGAGACAAAGACAAAAATCATGCCGGGCGGTGGTGGGGCACGCCTTTAATCCCAGCACTTGGGAGGCAGAGGCAGGCGGATTTCTGAGTTCGAGGCCAGCCTGGTCTACAGAGTGAGTTCCAGGACAGCCAGGGCTACACAGAGAAACCCTGTCTCAAAAAACCAAAAAAAAAAAAAAAAACAAAAAAAAAAAAAAAAAAAAAAAAAAAAAAGACAAAAATCATACAATATCAATATTTGTTCTCTTGGTCACCCTAGCTAGCTACTCTGCTATCAACAGTGGCTGAGCCTTTAAGTCTCATTCTTATTGGGTTAACATTGGGGACCTGTATCTTAAACTAAATCAGGGTAAGTCCACAATTTGACTCATTAACTAAGACCAGTGAGGAATGCAACAGGGTCTCAGACCTTAGTAGGCCCCCAGACATTAGCACTCCCAACTCCATGACAGAACTGCCATTCAGCCATAAAACTCAGGACTTAGACAGTTACACCAGCCAAAATGAAAACAAAGATCTCATCCATCAAAGTCCATAGTTCTGGGAAAGTCTCTAAAGGTACTAACCTAGCTTTTTGGCTTCTGTAGGTCTGCTTCTGGCTAACTGTTCTTGTTAACAGAAGTATGTTAAAAGCTCACCCTGAGAAAGGCTCAGTGGTACATTAATATCCCCAACATCCAGTGTCCAAGTGTAGTCACCAGTCATCAAATAAAGATTTTCTATTGGCTTACATCCATGTCTGGGCAGTCTTCTCTGGTAGATAACCCACAATGCCTCAGTGCCTCCCTAGCACGCCACAGTTGTATTCTCACCATGGATAGGCTGAAGAACATGGCAGTCTGCACACTGAGCCCTCCCACCCTGCATGATGATCCTATCACACTGCCTGTCCTACCATCCCAAACCAGAAACTGTGCATGTGCTAGTTCTACTCCTAAATACTCTTCCATTCCCTTTTTCATCTGTCCTCATTCTAACCTTCCACAGGCTTAGCCTGTGTGTCCCTTTGGGTAATAAATACTTGTGATGCACACAGGGCTGTGTGTAGGAATAATGTCATCCACTACCGTATTAGTGACTAATTCCAAGCTCTTACCGGGGACTAGCATTTTTTTGTAGGGCTGGAGATGCACCTCCATTTCTGTCAGGAAGAAGTTGTCAATCTAGTGATCATAACTGGAATGAAAAGATATAAAAAATTAATTAGGACAAATCAGGGGATGTGCATTCAGATAAATCATGCAGGAGAGAGGGTAGTGACTCTGGGGATGGTTTCTTAGTCTGAAGGCATTGGTAATGTTTCAGTATCCTCAAAGTGAGGAGGAAGGAGATCTAGTGCATTGGAGGTGGGGGAGGGGCATCCCAGGAAGCGAATGCATTGGCTCAGGGGTAGAAACAGACTGCCCAACAGGTCATCTGGGGACCTGTGTCTGATGTCGTGTTACCCAGAGAAAGAGGTGGTGATTTAGAGCAGAGAATGGCAGGATGCCAAACAAGAGGCCTTTGAGGGTAAAGCAAGAATTCAGAGTCTTTGAGGAATGAGGCCAGGGAATGTGTCAAGGTCACAATAACCATTTCAGATGCACACCTCCAGTGTGCTGTCATCTACAAGGCTCTGTCTCCTACATGGTCCATCATACTCATGTAACACTATCAGCTGAGGACCAAGACTTTAATTATGAGTCTGGATGAGGAACATTGCATGCTCAGATTGTACTTAAAGGGATAGGGCTGCTACATCTTAAAGGAGGTGACAGTTGCTTAAACCAGGCAGGTCCTATGAGGACATCTGTTTGATGCATGTGGACGGTCAGGCTAAAGGGGGTTGGGGAGGGGGAGGCAGAGGGCTTACTTGCTTTGGTAAGCAGTTTTGCATTTTGATCCAACCCCAGTTTTGTATTTTAGCTTTTACTTCCTGTTGGGGTGGACTGGGTCATATTCAAGTATGTATAGTTTCACAGACTCAAAGTCCAAGGCCTGCCCCCCTGTTCTCCAGTGGGTTTTTTTTTTAACTTTTTGTTACCTCTTGGTAAATTTAACATAATGTACCCCATACCCACTCATCTCCGTTGTTCCATATCTGCCCTCCACCCTTGCAACCTCCCCTCCAAAAGAAAACAATAACAACAACAACAAAAAAAAACACAAACATCTCACTGTGGAAGCTGTGCTGTGGTGTATCACAGTGTGTCATGCAGCTTTGCACACAAAGGTTCATTGCAGTGAGTTAATACTCTGGTTCGAGGCCTCTGGCTTCTGCTACACTGTCAATCCTGGATCCTCACTGGGACTGCTCTCAGATATCCTGTGGTTGTCTTGTGTCATGGAGAGCCTGCTGCTTTGGTTCTGCAGGACCAGCCCCTCATGTGCTCCAGCAGTTCATAGATGGGGTAGATGTTGGAGTGAGCCAACTCAAAGCCCTGGATCTGGGTCTGGATGGTAGCTGAACTGCTTAGCCTACTCGCTCTCTTACACTGCACAACCAGGACCAGTTCTTCTACTTTGCCCAGGCAAGAGGCAGGGCCAGCCCTCCTTCGGTAGTGGTATTTGTAGGGATGATAATAATAACAATAATGATAATAATGTCCATTTTCAAAATGAAAATGTTTTGAGACAGTTTGAGTCTATCTATAGATGAGGAAAAAGACTGGGCTCCTACTAGACTTTGCTAGTCCATTTACCCCAACCCAAACTAAGAGTAGGACAGGGACCCGCATTTGACATCTTTATCTAGTCTAAGCTGTTCAGCTCCATAGCCCAAGACCATGCCCAACGGATGTTCTGATGGTGCCGTTGGAACAGATATGAGACTTAGTTGGAGAAAGATCACCATAACTGAAAGAAGGGCTGTGGACTGGGGGGAGCAGAGGCAGCCCCTTGAGAAGTGTAGTCAGGTAAAGAACAAGATGATGTAATTTGGGGAGAAATGAGCAGAATTAGAGATCGATATGCTAAACACAGTAAGTTAGACCAGACACATGCAAATGCCATGCTGTCTGTCATACATGGAATGTAGGTTTCTATATGTACACACACACATACAGAGAGAGAGACAGAGAGAGAGAGAGAGGGAGGGAGGGAGAGAGAGAGAGAGAGAGAGAGAGAGAGAGAGAGAGAGAGAGAGAGAACATGAAAGAAGGTAAGAGACAGAAAAACAAGGAACAGGGAAGATGGGTGAAGATACTGGGAATGTTTATGAGCAAAATGTGTGGGTACTGGATGGAAAGATTGTCTGCATTCCTTCGCAGACTGAACACACACTAATAAATACGATTTAAAGCAAAACAAAACAACAACAAAAGGCTAGCGGCCACAGTGAAGATTCTCGATGTTCTTTCTTCTCTGTGGTCTGCTAGGGCTGTTGGATGGATGCCTCCCCCATGAGCCTGATGACCGTCAGGGGTTGTGTGTGTCACATATAACAGATGTTTCCTCTTTCCATTCAGCAGGCCAGAATCTGAGATTAGATACCCTGTGGTGAAATCAATGTCACATGGGTAGCTGTCCCTCCAGAGAGCCAGGGACTGTTCACCTCTCACCTCTCCAGGTGGTGGAGGCCATTGACAGCTGGCCTCTTGCCCTGTGAGTCTTGTCTCTGCTTCTGGGATCATACGAACTTCCCCTTGCACCTGCAACCCATCTCCCTCTGCTTCTCTCATAGAGGGACAATTGAAATTGGATATGAGGACCAATTTTGTAATGTAGAATTATTCCCATTCTGCAAGATCCTTTATGTAGTCCCTTGATGCTTGACCAGCATGCACAGAACCCTGGGTTTTGTCCCCAACACTGCTGAAATTGAGTGTGGTGTTTCTTGCCTGTTGTCCTAGCACTTGGGAGGTGGAGGTAGGATGGTCAGGACTTCAAGTTCATCCTTAGCTACAAAACTAGGCCAGTCTGAACTGCATGCAACCCTGTCCTAAAGAAATCTGTAAACAAGTAGAAATCGCTTGTTTTATTTCCTTTTGAAAACAGCAGCTTCACAATAAAGGAAGACTAATTGCAATTAAAAATAGTCCAGGTATATGGACAGACATCTCGCCAAAGCCAGACACATACATAGTCAATACACACATGACAAAATGATCAACATAACCAGGCATTTGAAGTGCAAGTCAGAGCCTCAAACTAGAGGCTGGGAATGCATCCCAGTTGGAAGAGATAGGTCCAGCATCATATAAAACCAGCATAGTGGCTGTGGTGGTTTGGTTGAGTCTATGACCCCCATAGACTCATTGATTTGTATTTGGTCACCAGGAAATGGCACTATTTGAAAGAATAAGGAGGTATAGCCTAATTGGAGGAAGTGTTACTGGAGGTGGTCTTTGAGATTTTCCACAAGCCCCAAACCAGGACCAGTGGCTCTCTCTTCTTGCTGCCTGTGGATCAGGATTTAGAATTCTCAGCTATTTCTCGAGCACCATGTCTGTTTGCATGCCAGCATGCTTTCTTCCATGATGACAATAGACTAAACCTCTGATACTGCAAGCGGGCCTCAATTAAATGCTTCTTTTTTTCATAAGAGTTGCTGTGATCACAGTGTCTCTTCACAGTGATAAAAATCCTAACTAAGACAGTGGCCATGCTTGTAATTCCAGCATGTGGAACATAGCAGTAGGGAGATCAGAAGTGTAACATCATCCATGGTGACACAGTGAGCTCAGGGCAGACTGAGAACTATAAACACAAGCATTAATAAAATCAGCATCGTTGTGTTGTTCCAAGGAAAGCAGATGGAATGAACGTCATCATATAAGCCAGTCTGAAAAGAGAAGTACAGGTAGGAAATGTTTCTTCTGTGTGCAGAATAGAGAAGACACTGCTATGGAGTTTGCAACCCCTCAGAAAAGACCATAGACTCAAACCAATTAAAGATAAAAGATTGATTAGTTACTACCAGCAGGATA